GATTCTCGATAACAACTTTCTTAACTGTTTCAACGTTTTCATCGGTTGTTGATGTGCTGGGACCTCCAGGGCGGGTAGCATTATTAACATCTTCTCGGTCTGCTGTAAAGAGCTTATAAACATTTTTCTCCTTTTGCCAAACGCCACAGTCGACATCTTAAGTGAAGGAGATCACTTAATTTTAAATTTCATATAAAATAAAGATCAATTTTTTTCGATATCAAAAAATCGCCAAGCACGCCAAAAACTTTAATCTAAAGTTGTCGAAAACAAACTAAAAATGCGAAAGGGCTGATAATGTCAACATGACGATGAAAATCGAATTTCCGTAGCCCAAGAAATTTGAAAAATCACATAGCGTCCTTCTTTGGAACACAACTTGTACACAATATTTACTTATTAATAAGACGCTGAGCGAACGTCTACTTATGAAAGAGCTTTGACTCTTCACGGAATAAACTCGTAAGGTGTCTGAATACCTAAATTTCTCTTGCACTTATTCACGTGAAGAAGAAAATACACTACTAAGTATTTTTTGTGTTTCTTTTTAAATTTATTTTTTATTCCAAATTTATTTTCTCATCTTCAAAGTAATTCTCAAACTTAAACAATATTCTCTGTCGGCAGTGCACAACGCTATGATAATCGAAAAAAGACATTAACATGATTTTGATTTTTGACCGACTTTGACGAGGTGTTTTTTGGTTGTTTGTGGGTCAGATATGTACATCCAACAACTCTCATGTCTCGTCACAATGCGTTTCGTGACCGATTAATAGTCAGAAATCATCTCGTCACACACATAGTAAAACCCGAATAAAACTTTTTCTATTGTGTAAAACCAACACTGCAATACCAAAAACCAAGGGCTGCAATATTATTGCATTGCAAGATGTGAAATTTAAGAAAGATGTCTTTCACAGTGCTATCAATTTAGAAAGACAATGTTTCTGATATTCGGTATACCAGCACAATTTAACTTAAATATTGGTCTAACTTTTTGGTTACAGTATTATAGAAATCAGTGTCGAAATTTATTTATACCCTAAAAACCGAAAGAGGAAACGGACATTTTTAGTAAACACCTTCATTTTATTACCAAAACAAGCAAAAACCAAGTAAAAATATTATATTCGACTGGGACCGAATCTCGCATACCCGCCACCATTGCAATTGTTGTTTTCTATCATAAAAATGGCTTTGTTTATTGTCATAAAAAAGTGATTTTCACAATAATTAATTTAGGATTAACACATTTAGTATTTCGCCTTCGACTCTCCGAGTTCGTTTATGTGATTACCAGGTGGGCGGTATTTTTAAGACTAAATTTATACGTCATGCCATGACGTCCGCCAAAATTAATTTACAATTACACCTTACCTTGCCGCCTGATACTCTCCGAGTCGTTTTAAAATTAATCCACCACACCGTGACGCCCACCATAATTAATTTAGAATTAACACACTTATCTGCTCCCCTTCTGCTCCCCGCGTCCTTTTACTTGATACCCATATCTCTGGTGTTGTTAATCAAACATTAATCCGCCAAGTCCTGGTGTCCACCACATTATTGCATATTAACGCATTTTAAGACAATGTATTTAAGGCATTCATTTGAGTAATGGCCGATTTTGTTGAATTTTTGCACATAAATACTAGAATTCTTCTGTCTTTTATAATTCATTAGTATCGGACAAAAATCCATAAAATTTTGTTTAGAAAAGCGGCGTTAGGTTCAGTTTACGCTTCACTACCGACTTGTGCTCTATCAAATTTGTCCCGTTTTCTACACCGACTTGAAGGCAAAAACTTTCAATATCTCTACGAAATATGAAGAGGATATCTTCATTTTTGCGACCACGAGAATGCCAATAAAACACATCACACAGATACACAGCCGGACATGACTTCATCAGTTTAGAATTTCATGCTTTTTTTTTTGTATTCCGATGCCGATATGGGGATTACAAAGATCGAGCCTCTACTTTGATCGAACCTCTACTTTGATCCAAAAGATATTTGTAAGAGATATTGCTTTAAAAATTATGTCTATATTCTCTCAAAAGACGATCTGTTTAAAATCCACTAATTAAATTTTTCGCCGTTTCAGTGGTTCACGTTCACGTTTTCTTATTGCAAAGCACATATGTTTGGTCTCCTGTGTGCCAAGAAGAGGGAAAACTTAATTATCAAAAACAAACAAATTGTTCGATTTGAGGCAGCCACAAAGGGCAAGAACAACTACAAACAACAAAATTTTAGAGCAAAATAGGGAGAATAAAACTTTTTTCCATAAAGTGTTTGGATATATGTATCTTAAAAACACAAACCAAACAAATTTAATTTCTTTTATATGCTTATTTTGAAAACTTGTTGCAAATAGTAATTAAGGCGAATGGATAGCTGCGTTCAAGCGTAAAATCAATTCATTGAAATACCATAAATATTCATAAGACGTTAAAGTATCACAATAAAATACAAGCATTAATTTATACGAAACCGCAATAATGAAATTTATAAAATAAGCAAAATTTAAATGAAAATAAATGGAATTTATTTTTACTCCCTCTCATACACACACACACACACACACACACAAATATTCACTTTATCGATAACAAAACATTTATATATGCGTAACAGAAACCGTAAATATCCTTTCAAACGGTAAAATGATTATCGTTCGTCCTCTCGTCCATCTCTCTTTCTATTCATGTTATTATTGATAAATATCTAGAAAACGATGATACTAAGCAAAAAATGTTCTCAATGCATTATGTTTGCATTTGCATTTTCAACCATTTTACTATTATTTGCTTACGAACCAATTTCTTTCTTGTATTGATACAAACTGGCCTAAATATTTTGCTCGCTATCCGTGACAACGAGATAATAAAAATAAAATTGCAATTGTTGGAGCAAAAAAAAAAAGAGAAAATTAGGGGCAAATTGCCTTCAGTTTACAGCGAATATTATCATTAAGACGTTTTTTTTTTTTCTTTTTTCTTTTCTGTTCAAAAACCAATTTAATATACGGTGAAAAGTCAACGCATTTAAAGGAATCAGCGTAATCATCCGAAAGTTTTTATTCGTTCGAAAGGTCTTTAACGGTGTCTTATCTGTCTCCGTCCAATATTTCAACATATTAATTTTGTCATGTATTATCGAATAAAATATCACCGCGAGCACACAAATATTGATGTTATTCCTCACATCGGTTTACTATATGTTTTGTTGTTTCAGCTTTTTCGAGCTTTTGCAAACACTAAAATACCTATTGATTGCTAAAATTTTTGAAAATAAACCCACTCACCTCGTTTTTGGCACAACATTTTTAGAAAGCTTGCTTTGTGGGAATGTTTATCACAGACTTTAGACCGGCAGACAGGGAGACAGGCGGAGGAGCGGAGAGTCTCTACAATAAAACTACCCTCTGACCGTTGCAAACGTTTAAAACGCAAAATGAATATAACACTCATTCCTAAGAGAAGAGAATAAAAACTCTAGAAATATTCCTAACGTACTTTAGACTTTACTTTAGGCAGAAAAATCTCTAAAATCTTTTCACCTGTATTTAATTCGAGGAACTAGGTGAAATGACTCGAATAAAATTGTGAACGTGAAGGGATAAATAGGTCTTATGGTCTTTCCGGTGTTTCCTTCATCACTTTATTCACTATACTTAGAAATTCTAATATAATCTGTTACTTTTAAGAAAATGGTTATGAATATTGCTTTTTCATTTTTATTAATTCATATATTTTTATACCCATTACTAAAGGATGAGAGGTATATTCATCATGTGAAAACGTTGGCAACGGCCAGAAGAACGCATCAGAGTCCTCGCAAAATATATTAATTCTTGATCAGCGTGAAATCCTAAATCAATTTATTCATGTCCGTCTGTCCATTTGCGTAATGTCTGTTATAAATATTCTACCGGCGGTAAAAATGACGCTATCGCTGCCTATTTAAAATGGGCCGTTTTTCAAAAGGGAGTACAAAATTAGTTATTGCTCATTACTTATAGCAGATAAATGTATCAAAATTTGAACGTATATTCTATGGGCGATGATATAGCACCTGTACAAAAGTTAAAAATATCGTCCACGCCTATCCAATATTATAGCGTATTAGGTTTCAATTTTTTTTGAATACCTTTATAACGCACAGAAACAAGCTTCAAAAACCCCATAATGTATACAAATTTTTGGCCTGTTTTCAGTTTGGAATGGACCTAAACATGCCCATATACTCGTCTGCCCATCTGTTTGTCTGCGCAACTGTGTAGTATTTATGGTAAACATTCTCCCGTTAGCGAAATTGGAAACATCGCCTAAAAATTTGCAAAAGTATGTGGAATTGACCTAAACTTTTCAAAGAACACGCCTACAACGTCCACATGCCTCTACGACAAAAAATTTTATTTTGGAAATAAAAGAAATCAACTGCACCCGCTCCTTATTATAAGACATGAGAATTTTGTTCTTTTACTTCTTTTGTCTTTTTTTGGGGTAAATGGTGATAGATATAAAAGATTCAGCCCTGACCGAATTTAGTTTTCTCATTCAATTTATTAAATTTGCTTTATTATTCGTTAAGTTAGTTGAAGATGAAAATAAATGTAGTTATGCTGGATAAATGTCATGTATTTTGAAATTATCCTTTGCGCCAAGCAATACCTATTTCTTTTTCCGTCTAATATCTCTCAGTAATATCCGTTTTATTATTAGAATACGTTAGAAAAATTATAAATTAAAAACCCCACCTGCAAAGGCCCACATAGCATAACTTTCTTACTTCAAATATTTAAGAGAAAACTAACATCTTCAGATTTTGTATTTATTTTCAATTTTTGATAAGAATATTTTTTTGCTAAAATATTAATTTTTCAAAAATTTAAATGAATTTAACGCAATTTTTAACACAACTTATCATTTACTCTTTCTTCTAATATGTATATATATATATATATTTATTCTCTTATTTATTTAATTATAGATACTGGGCTGTCACGAACATTGATTACATACATTCACGTACCAGTCGTCGCGTTTTTCTTATGATATTTTGTGTATGGACGGCTGCAGTGATTGTTTCATTGGCGCCACAGTTCGGTTGGAAGGATCCTGACTATTTACAACGCATTGAACAGCAAAAATGTATGGTTTCACAGGATGTTGCATATCAGGTAAGTCCCTGAAATGTGTAAAAGTATCCACGAACCAATACAAATGTTTATTTTAAAAATAATTTAAAAAGCGTCCATGAATGGCATAGAGCTATCGAAGTGGTTAGCTGTGGTGAAAAGAGTTAATTGCAAAACTACACTAAATAAAAAAACTTTTCGTACATTAAATTGTTTCACTAAAATAAAATAACAAGTAAGAAAATTGCATTCGATCGTGATCAAATTTTTTTATGCCCGTCACCGTTGTCCTAAAAAAGACAAAAAAAAATGAAAGAATTAAATTTTCCTGCCATATAACACAGAGTGAATCCGGCTTATTTTTGCTACTTTCAAAATAAAAGCTTTCGTCACATAGGCGAGTGCGCGTTGTAGGAGTGCCTTTGGAAAAATTTAAGTCACTTCCTAATTCTTTTGCAAATTTTATACCCAATGTATTCATTTTCGCAAGCGGGAGAAGTTTTACCACTGATTGGGCAGAGGGACAAATGGGCCGACATGCTTAGTTGCATTCTGAATTTGAAACTGTCCAAGAATTTATATACTTTATAGCGGTTTTGAAGCTTGCATTATAAAGGTTTTACAAAAAAATTAAATTATGACTCTCTGTTATATTGAGTAGACGCAGGCCATGTTCTCGTCCATGTCATCGCCCAAAGAATATACGTTTAAATTGTTGTAAATTTACGTTCAAATTTTGCAGATTTTAGAATTTAGATACAATAGTGCTGAAAGCACCCAACTTGCTGAATCTATGCAATAATTATTTCCCTATATGTGTAACTAAAGTGGATAGGGTTCACTATAGAACAGAAAGTCTTCTATTTTCCTAAAAATTTAAACTAAAAGTTAATAATCCTAAAGACCTAAATTTGATTTTCATCTCGTCTCATCTTTGATGCCCAAATCGCTCCTGTCTCCTGCAATTGTTTCGTTCTTTCACTTCTTCATTTTAGGACTGACAGCAAGGTACGATTGTACAGACAAAAGCTTTGCTTCACAATTTAACGTTGGTTTAAATTGGATACGCATTGTTTTTATATTAAAGGACAAACATGTTACCTTAGAGACTCCTTCTCTTTATCCTAGCACTATCTACGATATTAACCTTGAGAGAAAAGATTTGATTACGTGTACCAACCTCCACTATATCAACGCTCGTTAATTACGACTTATTAAAGAGAAAAGAAGCACCGCCGTCAAACTGACCGAAAATATAAATTTTGCATATTGTCTTACGCATGTAACTGCGTAACATACGTATGCTAAAAACAATTAACTTTCTTGGCTTTTCTCGCTTGCTCTCGCGTACTTTGATCATATTTTCACTTCAAAAAAGCAGTTGTTGAGAAAAATTGGTGCAATATCTACAACTTTTTTCCATCTTTCTGGCAACACGGCGATACCGTTTCGAAAGAATGATATTGGTTTGGTAGCGATCCAGTCATCCACTCATTTTCGCACTTCTTCACCATTTCGAAACTGAGTGCCAGCCAATCCATGCAGCATCGATCAGAAGGCGCTATATCTAGTAAGCCCGCTGGATGCGAAAGAACTTCCCATTCGAGCTGCAGCTTTGTACCCTTGACAACTCTTGCGGTATGTGGCCGAGCGTTGTTATGCAAGAGAACGACTATGTGTATGTTAGCCGCTATTGCTGATTTTTTTTGGGAAAAAAAAGCATGAAACTGCGATGTGGAACGATTGGAAATGACATTTTCAGTGAATTCGTACAGTAGCCATTTACCCTCCCCTTGGACCTTTCCCATCGCATGTAAACGCCTAGAACGCTAAGCTGTTGTTCTGAAAGTTCTTTGAAAGTTTGAGCTGGTCGGGTTCTTTGTCATTGACGGAAAAATCACCACTTTTAAATTGTTGTAACCAAAACAAAGACTGACATGGGATATAATCGAGCAGCATTACGATAAGGTTCTAACTTGTTTGATTGGCTTCGGTGGAAGATTTCTTCGAATCGAACAAGAAGAACAATGTATGCCGAAAATGCAACCTTGAGCGTTCCATGATTAGCGTCTGTATGCAGTGTATAACGAACTGAAATATTGTTATTTTATTTAGAGAAAGGTTAAAGTCATCGAATTTAACCATTGTGCACATTAATACGTCGCAATTACCTTATCATTTTCACCAATAAACGCCATTGATTAAAATACATGCAAGCTCCTATTAATTTGAAGAAGAGAGTGGACGTCGACTTTTCTAGGCCACAGTTTCAATGGAGTTGTATGTACACAAAAGCTAGCCTTACATTTACAAACGAGGCGTAATGGTACATTAGTTTCCACCTTGTGTTTGTAAAAACGATAAAATATTTCTTATATATTTTCCCTACATGCTTAACATATTCGTTCATATGAAATTTCTTGGTATCTCTTTGGATCTCTGAGAATTTCGGAAGCCGAATCAGAAATCTTAAACCAAGATTACCGATTAACTTTGAACACTAGGTGAGGTCCGCTCACAACTAATGAGCTTAAAATATTTTAAAATATTGCGAATATTCGAAAGAAAAGAAGAAATTTCAAAACATTGACCCTTACAAGTTGCGTAGTGCAAGTTGGATGTGCATCTAAAATTTTAATATCTCTCTCTGTGCTATGAGCAAAATGTCTAGAACAGAACCGATTCATTCAATTCGCAGGTCTTTACTTACGTGTACACACTAAGTGGTGTTTTCGGTTCATGGATGGTTAGCGAGGATTCGTTTTAAACCGAATATAATTTCCTCACTAGTTATATATTTGCATATATATATACATATCAGGTAAACGCATTTACATATATATTTACAGGTATTTGCCACTTGTTGCACCTTTTATGTGCCATTATTGGTGATATTGGTTTTGTATTGGAAAATTTATCAAACCGCCCGTAAACGTATACATCGGCGACGCCCCAAACCAAGCGGCGTTAGTGGCAACAACAATAAGGTGAGAGCTTTATAAATATTATCATTCGGTCAAAAAAATAAAGAGTAAGAGTAAATTTCCAATATTTTATAAAGGAATTTTGGGGTTTAGACAACACGGCGGAGGAGCCCCTTCCTATTCACATAAACCCCCTAGCAAAGTGAATACAAAAAATATTTAATAGAATTAAAAACGAAAAAACTTGATACTTTTAAAGTGGGATATTAAATTTTCACCAAGCAATGCTCATTGCATATTTCTGTTCTACACGAACACATGATAAATATTCTATCAGACGCACAATACGAATTGTAATGTAACAAGTACACAATACATGCTTATGCGCTCAAGAAAAAGGTGTTTTTTTATAGTTTGTATTTTAATATAATTATGTTAAGTTTTTTATATTGTTCATCGCCAGATGAATACGAAATTTTTTTTTCCATTCAAATATCATTGCAATATGTCGCAAACAAGGAACTCTTGTAACAAGTCCTCTTATCACCCGATTACTTTTTTTGTTAACCAACTCTTTCAATGTAAATCGTTATATTTTTTTACATAAATATTTCATAACAATGATGGGAACACAAAATTCTACTCGATTTTAAGAGTCGTTGGCTTTCCCCGCTTGTTTTTATTTTCTTTATTTTTTTAACTGCGTTTACACAGGTGAAGCAATAACCATAAACTATACGTTGTAGTCTAATGATTCATTGGCATTGTTCCACATACTTATATCTATTCAGGTACTGTAAAATGGGTTATAACTATACTACGTGGTATGCTATTCTTGTTACAAATCGTTTGCGAAACAAAAAGATATTTAAATCACACAATCAACACCCAATTGAATGTGTTCCTTTGTTTAAAAAATTCTGCTTTAAAGGGTCGCAATAATATCGATGCATAATTTTGAAAATCTGAAATTGAAGAAAGACATATACTTTTCAAATTTTTTTTAAATCTTTTGATTTGAAACTTTTAGGAAAGTCAAAATTTTCCTTAAAAAAATTTTAGTTGGCTCCATTTTAACGATTATTCAGCTAACTTCGTTGAAATTTTTGAGATACTTCCACGATAGGACAACCTATATTACATCAATTAAAGCAAAACAAAATCTTTCCTTAAGGCTTCTAATTTTCTTAAAAAGTAAAACGGTTAACGTTTGCATAACCTACACCAGTTGTTGTACAAGGATACATGCAACAGTCAGGAGCAATTGATGCGGGCCCTGTCTTTATTGCCCTGATCGGTTTTTAAACCGAATCTAAGCCTGTCTGTCCGTCTGTCCATCTTGTATTCTTGCATCATATTATAATTTACACGACCTAATTTTTGAAATATTTTAATGAAATTTGGTGCACTGACGTATTCTGACCCAAAGACGGACACTATTGAAAATGGTTCGATTCGGAATTCGCTACAAATATTCATTGAGATAGTATGTATTATTCTCACCAATCCATTACTTCACTATGGATATATATTTCCTTTATGCGAGCAAGCCTAACTCGAGTATAGAATATCCACGTATATTCTTCTACCCACAATCGCAGATTTGTAATTGCGTATGTACACGTTGAAAATACAATAAAATATATATTTTCCGGTTAGCATAAGACTATGTGCATGTTTAAGATTTTAGTGCCTTCCACCCCATTTATTTCTCCATCTCTCCATCATCTCTTGATAAAATATTAACCTTAAAGCTTTCACTAATATGGGATAAGTCAGTTTGGCAACGCCAATCCAATCAGCAGCGCTTCCTTTTATTTGGTGGAAACAAGAGAAAATCAAAATTTGGTACGTATGCGCATCTTTAATTGAGGGGCCACAGATCAATTTTCAAAAATAGTTATACTGGCATAAAATCTTGAAAAAAGCCTTGCAAGAAAAAAATTACGATTTCAAACGAGGATGATGATGACGAACGAAATTTATCGTTTAGGTAAGGTCTTCCCTACTATCCCTACTATAAACCCGTGTTAGAGTTTGCGTAAACATCGCAATATATGTGTATGGATGGTGTTAAGAAAGATGTAACGGTAACTTCCGTTACAACAATCTCTAGTGTTTAACATCAGCAAGCAGAAGCATGTGTATACTTAACTCGATGATATCTATTGATACCCGAACTAAATATGATTCAGTGAGCAGCACAACTCACGCCACATAGTGTGTTTTGTTACCTCTGACGCATCAATTATAAGGAAATAATTATGAACCATATTTTTCTTTCGACATCCAAACATTTAATGCGCAATTGTCGGGTAATCACAGCCACAACGAAACCCACTGAAGGGTCATGTCCGATGTCAGGACTCTGTCGCAAATATCTACAGGCAGTGAAACTGCAAACATCTAACTAAAGCCAAAACGCCACAATTGCATATTCCCTGGACTGTCATACAATTTTTCTCCACAGATTTTCAATGTTTGCGGCGAAATATCGAGATTATAATGCTGTGCTCCTAAATTAGTACTTCTCTGTTCCCAGGAATCTGTTGGCAAACCTGCGAAAATCATACTAATTTCGGATCTCCAGCAGCTGCACTATATAGAAAACAATCAACTTCACACTCCCGGCATCACACACACACACAGCAAAAGAATGGCAGCCAGGAAGAAATACCAGTGGTATGAGCCTATATGTAGGCATCAAGACTGGTTATGGTATACCGCGCAACGGACATGAAGTGACGCTATTGGGCTGATGGTGGCTGTATTTCGTTTCCTGAGTAGAAGGGATGACACCCTGTCAAAATGGGTTTCGGGCTAATGTTGCCCACTGCCTTCGCCCTTCCTTTAAGGCCATTACACCTACGAAACCATGTAATGGCTTTTAAGTTGGGGCCCAATTACAATGAATTGTAACAAACAAAACAATACAGCAACAGGCAGTAGGGATCACGGCGGCGCTTTGAGCGAAGAGAACCCCCCCAAAGTGACCAGAAGAATAATGAGGTCGCCAGTAGGCGTGCAAACGCAGACTCAGCTCGGACAGACGCTCCCCGAAAAGCCAAACTACACACCAGTAAATGCGGAGAACGTGGTAGCCTTCGCAAAGATGGGTGGTTATATAAAAGATGCTGCAGGAGAATTATGGAAAAAGGAGGCACATAAATCAACAAATGCGCGACACAACAGACGGCATCTGAAAGATGCCAGATTGAAAAGCACGGCGCAAGCGAAGTGACGGTGGCTCGCATACCTCGCCGCTGCAGAAAACAAGCGTGGCGAAGCGAACGCAGCCTGGGCCGCTTAAACGTAAGCAGCCCAGGGACGTAGACAAGCCGGCCGCCAAACGTCGCAACATAGCTTCCATACTGGGGGCTGCCAAAAAGCACGCGGCCGACATACCTGACGGCCATTAGCTACCGAAGGACGTGAAGTGGGAGAAATTCGGAGCTAAAGCAAAAACAAGAGAAAGACAGACCGGCCAAAAAGATCTATTAAGGGCAGGCCCGATGCTATTATCATAGTAGCTAAAGGCGGGCTCTCCTACTCGAATATGCTCCGTAAAGTTAAAGACGAACCACAATTAAGACAGTTTGGTGAAGCGGTGCAGAAAATAAGTGGAACGCAGACAGGCGAGCTTCTACTGCCACTAAACCAGAGCAGAGAGAAATCGGAAAAGCTGAGAGTGGCAGTAGTCTCCTTTTTAAGAGGGAGACAGAAGTCAGGTGTCTAAAGCAACGCAAAATGGTCGAGTGCAAAAACATCGACGGAGGCACTACCAGGGAGGACGTAAGGAACGCACTTAAGTCCCAATACGGAGTGGCAACCGCAGAAGCGGCAAATTTAAAGAAGGCGGACGACACTCATAAACTTACAGCAGGACGAAGCCGCTAAACTATTGGCAGGCGGAAGGCTGCACATAGGCTGGGTGATCGATAGGATCAGAGAGCTCATACCCTAGCTGAGATGCTTCCGATGCCTATAATTTCGGCACATGGCGAAGCAATGTATACTTGAGATAATAACAAGTTACCTTTCGAACCGCACGTTCGTGTATGATAGCGACGATGGAAAAGAGTCGCATAAAAGAAAGGCGGGTGTCCCACAGGGATCAGTTCTCTGTCCTCTCTTGGGGAACATAATGTACAATGGCGTTTTTGAGCTTAATCTTCCTGCTGCAATAACGATTATCGCGATATAGCAATCGCAGTGGTCGCAAACTGCGTTGCACAGATAGAAACGAGGGGTAGCGAGGCTATCGTTAAAGTAAAGGCGTGGCTAAAAAAAAGGGGCTAGACCTAGCAGAGCATAAGACTGAGGCAGTGCTAATAAGCAGCTGGAAGCGCGTGGGAATATGCTGCGTACGAGTCGAACAACACACGGTGCATTCATCTCTTGCCCTGAAATACTTTGGAGTTATGCTCGAACAACGACTCAACTTTAAGCGCCACGTTGAGTACGAAGCTGAAAAAGCTGCCGGCATCCAGGCGACATTAGCGAGGATTATGCCAAATATTGGAGGCCCGAAATTCACCAATCGAAAAATAATAGCCACAGTGATAACTTCGGTCATAATATATGGAAGCCCAATTTGCATTCACAGTGAAGGGAGTGTGCCGAAAGTTGGCGGCAATATATCGTCTTCGTACGCTAAGGCAGGTATGCGGATACCGGGCAGTATCGGAGGATGCTGCCCGGTGATTGCTGACGAAAAGCTAATCACTATCTTGGCGAACGAAATGAGGCGCATCCATTTAAGGCGCCGCATCAACGTCCCCACCCTAGAGGCAATGAAAAAAGAAGAGCGGCTAGCACCGATGAGGACTTGGCAGTCGCGATGGGAAAGAACGACGAAAAGAAGATGGACGTTTGTTCTTATGCCAAACATAATGGATCGAAAGGCTACATGGTGAGGTACCGAAAGTACCTGTTCAGATTCGGGCACGACAACTCGCCAAATTGCCAGGGTTTGTCGAAGATGCAGAGCATAGCATATTTCGCTGCAGAAGGTTCGAGAAAGGCAGAACCCGAATAGAGCCGAGTGAAATATTGGAGGAGTT